GTAATAGATTTGAACGTCAATATTTGAGCATCAGCCAGTCGACCTACTTTCGAGCCACGCCCACTTTTTGGCAAAAATGAAAATGGCCATCTAAATTCATTCGATTTTGTTAAATTTTGGTATGTGAATGTGTAAGGCTAGCCCCAAAACAGTTGTTACTCATATGGGAGAGATGACAACGTCCTATTACTTTTATTTCGTCTAACTGGTTAACAGCTCTGCAATCATACCTATATACGTGTAATATTGTGTTTTTGATTCTTCGTTACAGTAATTTGACTGGAATATTTTATTGTTTTTATTTGCGCGATATTCGAAAACCAAAATGTCGATCATTTAGGCCTAGTGCCTTCTCTCGTCAAGATTTCAAACTTTCTGATCTGAAACATTTATTTTCGCATCAAAACTTATGCATATATCATTATCAAGAGTATATAATGGGAGATATGCTATATAAGGGGAGTTCTCCCATATATACTCTTGCTTTATATATCCCCCCTCCCTCTTCTATCACACCCAAGGTGAGCTACAGTGTCATTGACACTTTTATTTTTATGTTGTCAAAAGGTTAAACGACAATAGCATTGACATCATGGAGTCGTTAGCTACGGCACCAGCGAAGTCACATTTAAAAAAGGTTTAATTTCACAGCTATTTCACGAATACCTTCCAGAACCTGGCCGGGATTGTAGTGAGCACATTAGTAGTAGTCCAGAGAATATGCGGGCGTACACGTAGCACACGTCGTAAGACGTTATAGTAATGTGTGTTGGCGGTGCGGAGCTGCCACGCACCTTCGGCTAATTTATGCATAATAATAGCAAATAAAAAAAAAAAAAAAAAAAAAATAGTGCATTATAATTTATGTATTATAATCATATTATATTATAATATAATTTATGCTGAGAATGCTAATTTATGCATAATAATAGCCAAAAAATAAGAAATAATGCATTATAATTTCTGTATTAGGCCTATAATAATATTCTAATATCATTTATGCTACTTTATGTGGAATTGCTGATTGACGTTACTGCTGCAACGTGATTTAATAGTGGTTTTTGGTAGAAAGTGCGACTATAACGCTGTAGTCGTAATATCTCTGGCTTGTTTCGTAGTTAGTCTCGCAACAAGCCGCCTGAGCAGTGAGCAAGAGAAGTGTAACATGGTGGCTTTTACTACCGAGTGAATCTCGGTGGACGGTGTACTTTTCCCAGCGGAGCAATAAACGTTATTTAGTCCATATATAATAATAATATAATAATAATAATAAAATAATAATAGTTTATAATTGCATCTCGGGTTAATACATAGCGGCAGCACGCGTGTAGTCCTGCACCACTGTCCGAACACTACACTACATAGTTCGACACACAGTATAGAGACGTGGCGGTGTTAGCTGGGTGAACACCGCGATGTCTCTCTATGCGACACAGGCAGGGGCGACCAGGGAGGTTCCCGTGTGACGATTCCTCTATAAGAGGGAGGCAGACT